AAGAAAATAGGTGTATTTGCTATTTTTATGTCGCTAGTAAAATCATTTATTTACATAAAATAATATAATAAAAAAAAACTTAATACTTACAATTATCATTACATATTTGAGCGCTTGTGATTATAATTACAGATAGAAATTCACACACGTGGCAGGTACAGAGCAAGCATGTAAATACTTCGAGAAAATACTTCGTTATACACAAAACTAGATATTTAGTACAAGTACAATAAATAATTTTGTAAGTCAAACATTACATATCTATAATAGGCACCAGTATATAACTATCTAATATTTATAATCCAGACATAAATAGCAGTTTGCGTTTGTATAAAAGTAAAGTTACAACATAAATATGACCCTTCTGCTGGCTGGCTTTTAAATAAAATAAAAAATACTATGGTTTGATATGCCGCGTATCGATTACGCACTCCAAGAGGTCGAACTTTGGCGCGCATTCCAGCCGCGCGAAATGGATACCGCCTTGGAACGCGCGCCAAGTTCTTCGTCGGAACGCTCAAAAGTGGCGCAGGCCGCTCCATCTGGTGTCGGTTTTTAACCGCATATCAAAGTAGTTAAGTTTTAGCGCGCGCGCCGGTTGGGACGGTTGTTTTCATTATCCGTGTGTTCGTTGCGTTCAGAGCTATGGATAACCAAAGTTACCGTAAATTGCTAGAATTATATGGTTCAAAAGTACTGCTGTGGAATAGCAAAAGTAGTTTTTATTATAATAAAGCGCTCAGAGAAGATGCATGGAACTATGAAAGCAGCAGCTGTTCGTACACGACCGACATCCGTGTTGAACGGACAAACACTGGAGCGGCTGCCGCGCGCGACGAGCGCGTAGTCGATACGCGGCTATACTGTAGTACAAAAGCCAAGTGTATGTATGTCTTCATTAGTTAAAGAAATAGAAAACCTCACATTCTGTTCTAAAACTTAAAAAGTAAACGTTTTATTAAATATTAATGAAAAAATATTATTATGTACTACATAATATTTAACACAAGAATTTGTGAAATTAATTTAAATGCAGTCGCGTGTATCCGAACGCACAATTAGATTATACCAGTTTGTCATTATGCGCTAATGAGCGACAATAATCTATCGCTTATCAGATGTCGCTAGTCGGGACTGAGGTGAAGTTATTTATTTCCCAATGTCACTTTAATTGAGATCTAAAATATTTGAATACATAAAACAAAGCCTCAGTGGTTTACTCTTTAATTTTTTACACATTTTTAACTCTTTTTAAATTTTTCTACTTTTAGGAATATCCTTAGTTTGGTTTATTCATTTCTAATCTAATTATTATAAAACTAGCTGATACCCGCGACTTCGTCCGCGTTGCTTGATATTTTTTCATTAACAAAGCTTTCGTATGTGCGAAGGAAAAAACATCAAAAAGATCGCAAGCAAAAATACACTTTGCTTACAAAATTTCTTTGTAAACAATGTTATTCGTTGCTCTAGCCAAAATGCATAAATTATCTGGGTTAGTAACGCGAGAGCAAGCGATGTACAGTTGACCGTGGGAAAAACTCCGTATACAAATAGTTGTTTCTTAAAACTTTAATAACTTTATCTATACATATAATAAAACTGTAAATAGCAGATGTCTGTACATTTTATATTTTTGTAATAAAAGTGATTGAGGGGTACTAAAAATAAGTAATTAAATACATTTCTACCATTTTTAGAATTTTCTGTCTGTCTGTCTGTCTGTCTGTTTGTTTGTTAACGTATCGTATAAAGTACTAATTTATATCATAAGAATTGTGAAGGAAATTATAAAGTGTATCTTCGGGTTACATTTAGTCTTTATTTCATTAAAATCAGTTCATTCCATCAAAAGTTATGATAAATATTCTGAAGTATGGGTAGGTAAGTATAGGTACGAATTTGCTCAACGGTGGCTTTGTTTGAGTCATCAAGGGCATTTTAAACTAATATCATATCATAAATCATAGTTAAATTATGTAAAATAATGATATAATTATGTATATCTAAAACGCAGTAAACAAAAGTATTAAAGAACGTATTAAATATATTATACAAAAATATATTAACCTTATTAACTAAATCTGAAGCACAATAGTTAACCCATTTCTTCGATAGATGGTGGTGTGGCATAAATGTGATACAAAAAGGCAGGTTAAAATTTATTCCTGTAGTTGAGTTTCATATTTGCTTCTAACCTTTATATTAATGACACGCTGCCCTACTGCGTGTTGACAATCTCATTTATTTTTTATTTTTTTACCGCCGAGTACTCTATGTGGTAAATCAAATTTTAAGAGCTATTAACAATTTCATTTTTCGGCGAGGATCAAACTTTCTTTTTTGCTTACTATGCAGGCACTGATTTATAAGTTCTTTTATTGTATCAATCGTGTGAATTAATCTCTTATTTTTAGAATTGATGTTAACAGCGCCATCTCTCTTAAATCTATACATATAATAAAAATGGTAATAACATGTTATGTCTGTTTCTGAATATTGTATAGTATATTAATTTGCGACTAAAATCATTATTGGGACTGTAAATCATTAAATAAGTACATTTTTATAATTTTTAGAATTGTACTATCTGACGGTCTGTCTGTTTGTTTATGGACGCATGACGTTTTGAGTAAACATCTTTTTTTTTTCAATGAAATCCTTAAGAAAATCATAAAGCGTATTATCAAGTTCATTTAATCTTTGTTTTATTGAAATTGGTTAATTCTATCGAAAGTCATGATTATTATTTTGAAATGTAGGTTCGAATTTGTTTAATGGCGCCACAAAATCCCAAAAATAGTAATAAAAAGATTCGTGTGTAAAAAAAACGTTCTATTATAATATATTTCGTATCGTTCTATTATAGTACTTAAAACACAGTAAAAATATGTTTTCCTTAAATTAAAAAAGGATGTTTTCTCACAAAGAACGTAATAGATGGCGTTGTACAAATTACAACCTTTTCTGAATTGCGGTGTTAAGATTTTTCGCAGGTGAATCGTATTGAGACTCACTGTAATAATTTAGCTGTAAGCCTGCAAGGTATATATACAGAGGTATTGAAATATTTAATTATTCAACAAAACTCGACTAAAACTAAAAGTATCAAAATTGCAATAAATGTCGTGATGGTGATATTGTTTTATAGCCAGAATCACTCTAATACCAAATAACTTTTTTTCAGTTTTAAGTAAAGTTGCAGCCTATTTACGTCCCACTGCTGGGCACAGGCCTCCTCTCATTTCTGAGAGGGTTTTAGGGCAAGGAAATGTCCACCGCGCTGCCCCAATACGTGTTGGCGAACTTCACATGTTATCGAAATATTATTTTTTATTTCTCAAACATGCAGGTTTCCTCACGATTTTTTCCTTCACCGCCGAGCACGTGGTAAATCAGCACTTAAAATTGCAATTGACAATTTCATTGGTGCCGGCGGGGTTCGAACCCGGGTTGCTCGAGTACTGTGAAGCTTACAGCGAGCGCTAACCATCTGAGCTACCACGGCTCAGGCTTCAGTTTTAAGATAGGGATAATAACATCGATGTTGGCATCGCTAGCTCAACATCGATGTTCGATGTTTAGGCCACTCAAAACATCGATGTTGACCATTATCGATGGTTTTTGTATATGTGTAGATAGTTACACATTGTTTTAAAATTATGTGGGTATACACAGCAAGAGAAAAGTAACAATTAACTTGAATATCAATTTACGTAGAATAGTTATTATGCGACAACCGACAACGACACTACAAAATAAAGCGAAAGCAGTGACCATTGTGACATTACAGGAGACACTTGACAATTAAGTTTGACTCACCATACTGACATTTTTTTAGATTAACGATGCGTTCAGAAATTCTGAATTATTCAAAATTTTTAATCTTCAGAGCAGATGCAAGATTTAGTTGATATTGATTTCGCGAGTTCGCATTGTTTGCAAGTTCCCAATTATCGATTATGGGTTCATTGACGTCGATGTTTCGATGTTTGACATATGTCAACATCGATGTTAAAACATCGAAGTTTTAATTTTTAACATCGATGATCATCTAACATCCCTATTTTAAGTGTGTTTCCCACTCAGCGTGTGTTATGCGACGATCGTAAATAAAGCGCAAGGTCAAACTTTACGCGTCAGTACTGATTGTTTTGCACATGGCCAGCTCTATATTGCTTTTTCTCGCGTTAGTAGTCCCCGTAAACTTTTTCTGTACGCCCCGGCTAAGTCTACTTCTATCGTCGTTTACACAGAAGATCTATCATAAACGACTTAGAACTTTGAGAATATCGATTTATTTTGTTACCACTTATTCATAGAGTAATGATATAAGTCGGTTAATATTCTCTTACCCTAAACGTCAAATTCTTTAAGTAAAACCTATATTCGCGAGCTACGCCGCGGGCACAGCTAGTATTAAATGAAGATATCGCAATATATTTTTTGATAAGGGTCAAGTGTCTAAGTAATAAAACTTACAAAACCTAATAGAAATCTATCCAATAGTTTTTCCGTGATACACGCACAACTGAAAACCTCTATCATTTTATTTATAACTAGCTGTTGCCCGCGACTTCGCTCGCGTGTTAGGGTTTTTATGTTTTTGCGCGGAACCCTAATTCTTTTTCTAAAATAAATGTAGCCTAAGTTACTCCTTATGACATCAGCTACCTGCCAGTGAAAGTCCCGTCAAAATCGATCCAGCCGTTTCGGAGATTAGCCGGAACAAACAGACAGACAGGTAGGGAAAATTTTTAAAAATTGTGGGATTGTTATAAATACCGTATATGCAATTAGTAAAAAGCTGTAATTTTGACATTACAAACAGACACTTTAATTTTATTTATTTGTATAGATATAGATAATTAACTTCTCTCGCCATAAAATCTGTCAAATATTTCACCTCATTCCTATCGTCGTGAAAGCCTCCATTGTTAGTTACTTATCCGAAGTCATAAATAAAACATTTACATTATGTAACTATAATAAATATTATTTTATGTATTTAAATTGTTGTCAGTCTGAACATGTCTCTGGTGGAATATATCTAGCGCTTGCCATTGCTTCGTGTGCAATAGTATGTGGGGTCGTTTAGATCTCATGTACTCCACTGCTTCTTCTGGAGACCAGCCATTTTTCTGTAAAGGTAATTAGTATTAGTAATTATTTTTTTATTTATGTGTGTGTTACTAGCGATCCGCCCCAGCTTCTCACGGGTGATTATTAGACATATATTTATATTGAAATCATTTAATATAAGCGTAAACATATGTGTGTGTGTGTGTGAAAAGAAAGAAAGAAATACATTTATTTGGCACAAACATAATATACTAGTAACAAAGAAATAATTAGGTAAGACAGAGAAAAAAAATTTCATCTTAACAAAAATATAAATAAATTTAACCTAATATGCACCAAAATCGTCTTCACTCAGCCATGAGTCAGACATCAATTCCTAACGCTGATTTTCAGTAGAGCCAGAAGTGTGTGACAGGTGACAAACGATAGCAAAAAAAGAAAACATGTAAATATAAAATAAGGTAATGTACAAGCCTATCGTAATAAAATTTATGTACTAGCTAGTGTATTTTTTGTCATCTCTGTAACGTATAACAGACATAATAATAACTAACAATAAATAACTAACTTGCTCTTTACTTTTTTGAATTTTTCAACTTTTATGAATATCTGTGCTTTGGTTTATTTATGTTTAATGTTATTAATATAAAATACAGCTAATAGTACAGAAAGAAACATTAACCTTTACATTTTTTGAACAAATTAACTTCCCTACTATGAAATTTGTCAAATATTATACCGCACTTTTAAGTGGCGCCGCTCTGGTGGCAGAAAAAGTCATGGATGCCATCATTGAGTACCTTCTTTTTGAAGTTGGTAGAAAAGACAGTATATTTTGCAATTTTTGAAGCCAATCTTCTTTATACAGGTTGACCGAAAAGTCGTGAGTCAAACGAAATAGGGAGATATGTCATTTCCATTAT